ATTGGAGGTAAGCATTACTTTGCTTTTCCAAGGCTTCCGTGTATGCGACAGGGCGATATCTTTCGTTCCAGCGTGATCAAAGAATCCCGCGATGCTTATATTCGACGACTCAACGGTATATATGAGAACAATCTCAATGGAGTAAGCTATTTTCCTTTTGTTTTTCCACTCTCTTTTGTCTTTACTGCAACAGATTACCTTTATCGAGAGGATCTCTCTGATGTTTGCTTGAAGACACATTCCGCGAATACCTCGGTAGGACCACCCCCCCCCCCCACGTCCCACCCCGCTCTAAAGCCATGAGTTCCTACCCTGAGTCTGGCGCGCTGAGTGTCTCTGCATCTCTTATCACCACATGCTCTTTCAATATTTGAATCAATGGGACGTGATGGCGGCGTTTCCAACGGACTGATATGTTCCCTTGTTAGCTGGTTTCTCTGTTATCACCTGAAGACTTGTATTCAAACCCCAATACCAACAGCTTGCTATAGGGAATGTGCCTTCATAAGCCTGATCCACAATCGAAAGCGAAGTTGCTCATCGTTCGCGAGCAATGCGCTTGCTAGGGGTTTTTACTTGGGACATTGGCCGTTTTAGCGACTTTTTCTGTTTCTTTTTCCTCCATTGACTCTCATGGCATCTTGGCATCCCTGTTCGAGCCCCACTAACCCACAAGATCTTATCGCAGACTTCGAATGTGATTGTTATCCTTTCAGTCAAAGGTGGACCTCATCCGTGGGTATGGAACCTTCACTGATGACGGAAGTATAGAAGTGAATGGAGAAAAGTACAGAGGAAAATACACTCTCATTGCCGTTGGAGGTAAGAATATCCCACTTCAAGCTTCAAGGTCGGAATTACGACGTTGTTTTGTTCCTCCAACGTGAAGTGATGGTCCTACCAAGGAAGCATTCTTTTAATTCCAGGCTATCCAACCATACCGGATCTTCCCGGTGCTGAACTTGGAACGGATAGTGATGGCTTTTTCGAGCTCAATAAACTGCCGAAGTAAGTTTCTATCGACAGTGCCTTCAAACAACATCCTTTTACTGTTGTTTTTTTTCTTGAGTTTTGTGATGGCTTTCTCGAGCACAATAAGGTGCCAAAGTAAGTTTCTACCGGCAATGTTTTCGAAATTTTTCTTGTTTTTCCTGAATTCTAGGGATTCTCTCCGCTACTCCGAGTGTTTTTCTCATTGTCTTTTCCGAAAGCCATTTGAGAAATTCATGGTAATAGTTGTTCTTTTGCAGGAAAACGGTGGTAGTAGGAGCTGGCTACATAGCTGTCGAGCTTGCAGGAGTTCTGGGTAATTTAGGATCAGATACTCATCTTCTCATACGATACGATAAGGTCCGTTCACCTTACCTAACAGCAAGAGGTCTCATCTTTAGCACCTGTTATTTTAGGTATTACGTACTTTCGACGAAACGCTCAGTACCTCATTGACTGAGGCCATGGACAAAGGCCCTGTAAATATTCATAAAAATACTCAGGTATGGATCTATAACTCCTATTTTCTCCTGGTATATGTAGGCTATCGATGTTTTGCTGCGAAAGTACATAGCATAATAGGCTTCGTAATGCTTCCTTCCTCGCGCAGCTGTTCGTTTGAGAGGACCATTTTGCATCGTGGGTTCTTCTGTAGGGACTGTTGAGTAGGCAGTCACACTTTGGTGCATGACTTGTAACTCTTGTCACAGTGCATACGAACTGCTAAATTGTTCCAGTATTTACAGGAGTATAACAGGTATCCACAGTGGCATCCATCCAGAGATGGGGACCAGCAAGATGCCCCCCCTTCCCCCTCACTTAACCTTTGCAACATTTTTGGAACATTCCGCTCGTTCGATTTCCATTGGTGGGTTAGGGACTGCTTCAAACATGGATCAGGATCCCTAGAAGCTGTAGCTTAATTCATATGTGGCTATCCATTTACTTACCCATTAATCTAGCCCGGGATCTATACTTTTATCCAGTCGAGTGAAAGGATTGAGGCTGGAATAACCGATCATACCTCACAACCTTTACCTCTTGTGGCAAAACATCTTTGCACCCCTTCTCTTTCCTTAGCTCTGAGAATTACAGGGTACCCAAAAGAATGAAATAGCTTCGCACTTCACTGGATTTGTTGTGGCCCTACCAAGCGTGCGCCTCTGGCACAATTCCGCGACGGGGGGGGCATTTTGCACTTTTGCTACCTCCCATCGACGTGTCGAATCATCAGTGGAAGCTTGTGAACCATGTGAAGCCACGTAAGCGTGCCTGTCAACTCTTGTAAAGCAATGAAATACCATACGAACACCATTTACCATGATGGTTCGACGAGCTTTTTTCAGCTTCTCAAGAGATTCACCAGAATGTGACTTGTAAACCGGAACTAATGAAGCTGCGGTCTTGTAAACTGGAATTTAGTGAAGCAGCGAAAGTGCAAAATGCCCCTCCCCGTCGCCGAACTGTGCCTGAACCAACTTCTAATTGTAGCAGTTCCATCATTTCCAGGTTAAAAGCGTTGAAAAGCGCTCTGACGGACTTCTGACAATCAAAACGAATACTGGAATTATTGATGAAGTAGAGACATTGATATGGGCTGTTGGAAGAACACCGTCTACAGAAAAGTTGAACCTCGATAAGGTACTAGCAGCTTTTACCCTTTCCGAGGAAGCCTAGCTCAAAATGTTTTAGGTTGGCGTGAAAACTGACGCAAAAGGTCATGTTATTGTCGATAAATTCCAAACTACCTCTAATCCTTCAATATTATGCGTTGGTGATGCCGCCGGAAAATACCTCCTTACTCCAGGTGAGCAATTACTCTACGTTTTGAGGCATTTTTTTTTGCTTTGGCGGGTTTTCGGTTTGGAATTCTGCGACATATTTCACGACAATCGAGAGGGGCGGAGACTATAATCATCAAGCATTTTTCTTTGGTGCGCCTGTCTCACAGTGCGGCATACGGGAATGGACGCACCAGTGAGAAAGGCACAACGAAGTGAGGTGGGCCTTAGTCTCCGCCCATCCATTTACCATGAAAAATGTCTGAGGAGCTGACTGGAGAACTTCTGGCTAGTCTTAGAGGAGCTGACTGAGAACTTCTGCTACGCGTGTGTCACCGTTCTATTTAAGCTGCTATAGGTTGAAACTTTTTTAGTCGCCGATACAGCTGCCTCGTCGGCCGCTTTCAATCGCCTTTTCAATCAACGAGTCTTCGAACTACCCCCATATGAGAATATCGCTACCGTAGTCTTCAGTCATCCTTTAAGTTGGCACTGTTGGTCTGACAGAAGGTTAGTTGGTTATTTTCGAAGTTTGTTTTCTAACTGATTCCCAATGAATGTTTTTTTTTTTGCAGCCGAAGCTATTGAAAAATATGGCAAGGATCAGATAATGTTGTATAAATCGAAAGTTTAATCCTATGTATCACGCGGTCACGAAACATAAGGAGCCTTGTGTAATGAAATGTGTGTGCGGGTCCGAAAGAAGGTTTGTTCGCGCTTCTATGCGTTGAAAAAGTCACTGACGATAACAAGTCTGTTTAAAAGCAAAATTGCGAATTCGCCATGTGGAGCATTCTGCCTGGTTCCATCGATCCATCTTTATAAGAGGCTGTGCTCTCAACAAGTTCGGCACATGTAACGATAAATCAGCCAGGAGTAACCAAGCAAGGACCAGGTGACGGGCCCTCGAACCAAACGAAGCGCGGGGTTCTAAATTGGGCTGATGAGCCCACAGAGAGTAACTCGCGTCTTTTGATAAACGCCCTCTTGTTGCGAAGTTGAATGTTGTGAAAGAATCCTTCGGCCCCTTTTTTATTCGGAGTTGTTTGAGGGATTCATGTGGGTGCTGAGTTTACAACATGAGAAGAAGCATGTTGCGGGGACGCTGGCCGGACGTGGCGTTGCAAGGTGACGTGACGTGGCGCCTAATTGCGCCGGCCAGGGCCGCTAATTGATTTATTCATGGGAATGCTGGGCAATACGTCTAGTGACGCAATTCTTGCGAATACTACTATTTTGTGCGCGTCACCCGCGTGGATACCCTGTTAAGCCCTGGTGGACTGATTATGATTAAAGCGGTAGGGGGAATTCAAAGCTCGAGGACAGGGTTGCTCTCAAGAAAAGTGTGATAACGTGTGATAAACGCGCAGTGACGAAGCTTAACTTCTCTTTCAGCGGGTAATATTAAAACCCACCTCTTTCGCAAAATCCGTCGTGCACCAGTACATCTTTTTGTGTGTAGCGCTGGCTCACTGGTTTTTGTTCATCCAAAGGGACCAGCGTCGAGAGAATCGGGCTTCACGCGGTTGCGCTTATTCACTGCGCTATGTCCACCACTTTTTGATAGCAGAGGGAATGGAGCGGTTTGGCTGAGGGGGAGGGGCTTTATACTTTAGCTTCTTATCATCGACCTGTTCATTGCTTAACAAGAGCTGACAAGTGGTCTCTGCAATATTTTGACTGGTATCACTCCGTGGCTTCACAAAACTCACAAATCACCGCTTGGTTGCTCGCCACGACAATGGGAAGCAGTGAAAGGGCTGACTGCCCCCCCCCTTCCCTAGCCGAACTGCGCGGTGACTGAGGGAAGAAGTGGCTACTTTCATTTTGCATCGCTCTAGAAGGCTGTCTGAAATTAATTTGCCCGACTGTAACACAGTCTTGTGCGGAACGTGTTCTGTTGACCTCCCGACTGAACAAATGGACACCAGGTTCATACAACCACCACCCCCCCCCCTCACAGTTTAGTCGCTTACATTTTACATTGTTCAGATTTGTGGCCCATTGGAGAGATTATTCGCTGTTTTAACGATGTGGCCAGCTAATACGCTCGATTTCAGGTTGTTGGTGTTCACATTCTCGGTGGTGGTGCAGATGAAATGCTGCAAGGGTTCGCCGTTGCGGTGAATATGGGTGCTACGAAGGCCCAGTTCGACGACTGTGTAGCCATTCATCCGACAAGTGCCGAAGAGCTGGTCACTATGCGAGGAGGCGAGCGACCAAAATAGATCCTCACGTTGTCTATATTGCGATTCCTCATAGATTCACAGGGCCAATTAAATTATTTTCTCATCAGTTCGTTCACATAGAATGTTAATATTTGTTCACTCCTTCAAGATTTCTCACTTCATGATGAACAGTTGACATTGTGACACATACGGCGAAATTGGAGGGCACTCCGATAGGGATGACAGAATACCGGCGGAAGACAACAAAAAAAAGAGAACATCTGCTGAAAACTGAAGACGGCAGTTCAGTAACTTCTCAAATTGGTGGTGTATTGACGAGCAGCCGGTAATATTCGAGTACCAAGCCAACAGCTATGGAATATGCAATTTCGACACTGATGGACGTCGAATTTTTCAATCGTTGATTTCTTCTCAATCTGAAATTTCATTCATAATCACTGAATTTCTGTGGACCCTGGTAATGCTTGCAAGATTCTGCCATCGTCTTGCTGCTGAGCTGTCTCAAGAAGCAGGATTTGGCGCGGCGCAGGCCAGTCCCCAATTAGGGCTGCCTGCACACGCTCCCCCCCCCCAAAGTTGATGGAGATCAGCGAATTTTTGAGCTCCGGATTGTCGGATCCACCGCTCATTATCCGGGAATAGGGTGAGAGGCTGCGCGTTCATTTGAACACGGTGCAGGATCCGATCTCCGTGAGTTATCTCCACTTGAGACAACTGTCATCCTGCTTGTGGCATAACTGCTGCCATGTTGAGTTGAGTTACCACAGGCCCGCCCTTCCACTCACGGGATAATGGAGTGCGACGCGCAAACAGCACCACATATTCGCTAGAATTAGCGCCAAACCCTTTTATCAAAAATGGATAAAACAACTGTAATGGGGTTGTTTGATGTCCTGATCACTAATATGACATTTATTTTTCGATGCCAACGCCATTTGGCGCTCTTCTAAGGGTGAGCCTGGGAGAACGAATGGTTTTCTTCAGGTCAGGCTCAGCCTTAGCAGAGCGCAGATGCTCGCAGCGTCTTCCATCAACGCCAGCGCCAAAAGTGAATGTAATATTTGTAATCAAGATGTCAAATAACCTCCTCATACACATTTTCAGCTGATTTGGTGACCTAGGGTATTTTGGCGCCGGCGCCTGTGGCACGGGCGCCACGCAGTTTCGGGCGGAGCGGAAGCGATATTCGTGTTCAGGAAGTCACACTACTCCTAGGAACACGTTTTCAGCGAATTCGTGATTTAGGTTTTTTGGCCGCGGGGCGCGCAGCGCACTTTCAAGGGATGTATGACATGAATCGTTTAGGAGGTCGACATTACGCATAGAACCATACTTTCACCAAAATCTTACCCCCGAGAAAAAAGTCCATCAAGATCCGGCCTGTTTTCGGAAAATTGGGGTAGTAATATTTAAATAGTGCCATGTATTCTTTGCTAACATGACCTACCTGATCAGCGAGCTTTGAAAAGCAGTTGGGATCCTTTACAGTAACCGTTGCTGGTATGTTCTTACCGGCGTGGAGACCAAAACCTCTGTAAAGTAGTCGTACAAAAAAAGTAAAAAGCGGCAGAAAAATCAATATTCATTCAAAAATGGAAAGAAGCTGGTGAAGTGGAAGTTCAATCCACAGTTAGCTAAAAGGTAAAATGTCCGCCAGTTCAGCGAGTTAATAAGGATTTATAATCTCCCAGTGAATCAGATGAGGGCCAATATATTTTTCGAAAACAGTCCCAACGGGGTCGCTTGGCTGTTTCACCTACTGAAACATACCCTATACAGTTCCGTTCTGGTATGTTTGTATAGAAATCCCAGTATCCACTTCCAGTGGCTCGTCGTCGATAAAGATGGAACCACGAGTGATCATTACGGATCGTCTGTACGCCAATACGGTACCTAAATATCTTACAGCTGCTCGTACACCATCGTATAACAGTTGGGAAGTCATCTGGTACAAGAAATGTTAGAGCGGACTGATTGCTGTGCTCATACTTAGTCTGCACTCAAACTCAGTTTGCTTTCATACTTCACGACTCAGTCGCACGATCTGAGAATCGCACGACAGCGGCCGACCGCGCTCCACCGCTAGCCATCGTACCCATTCAATCTCATTCAAAATAGAACTCCCGTTCGTTGGAACGAACCATTAATTAGCCGTGTAGCATGGTTGGCAGTGACTGGAGCCGTGAAGTATGAACGCAGCCTAAAAAGGGTGGGTCAGGAGCTTCGTTCGTCTCGAGTGACTACAGTAGTAGCCTAGGATTCGAACCCTGGACCATGTACGCGGTAACTCCACTGCACCTCCACTCCTTAGAAGTAGTAGTAGTCATGGCTTCAGAAACGGCTTATTAGTTCTTTCATTTCTTAAACCAGTCCCTAGAACCTGTTTGATATCTCACTAAACCAACTACTTTGTTCCCAGTGACATATTTTGACCCTTGGACCCACAATACTTGTTACTCTGGAGTCAGACACTTCTAATGGGAGCAGTTGAGTTAGAATCAGCAACTATTAAATGGCTCACCATCCTCGTGGAAGCTTTACGTCCAGGCCCTCCTTCTCGAGATCAGCATTTGGTGGTATTTCAGTGGCACAAGTGACTATTCTGAAGCAGCAGAATTATTGGCTTCTCAGTGAGGGACCATTAAAACACAGGACCACTTACCCGCATGTGATTTCGTTGGTTTCGCGGTAGTAAGTGCAGTATACGTTCCTGGAACAGAACAAGTTGATAACTTCACAATAAGACGGGGCCTCGTCAGAGGGGCTGAAATGAGCCCACTTCGGGCTGCCTTGCTCTACCAATAGTTATCGGTTAATGATCGATCTGGGAAGAAAACCACTGGTGAAACGTCGCCGGTGGGCTCATTCAATCTTTTTAAAACCACCTCGATCGATTGCCTCGTTATCAACTGTTTTTTCAGCAGCTTGCATCACAACTCTCATCTTTATCATCTTCACTCTACTAACACCTGAAAGCAGTCCGACGACGTGGTGGGGGAGGGGGGGTAGGAGGAAATCCGCACTTTCGCTGCTTTCCGATTTGCAGGTCCCACTCTGGTGATACTACGAACTCTTGTGAAGCTGGAGCAAGCTCGTCGAGCCAACATGGTAAAACCTGTCAACTCTTGTAAGCTCATGAAATGCTCTCTAGATGGGTCTACCCGCCAATAGGAAATAACAACACTGCAAAATTCCCACCTCCCCCCCCCCCTCCCTCGTCGACGAACTGCCCTTTTGTTGCATTCCTTTGAGTTAAGTTTCTCTAGCTCTTATTTTGTTGGTTTCATGATATTTATCTCAGGGCTTGTTATTCTTACTCGTTTTTTTTTCTATGTGCAGGCAGGGATGCTTGGTGGGGAGGGGTGGGAATTTTGAAAACTGCTGTAGAGCTAGGGAAAGTTACGGGTTCATTCCCAAACCACTCTCTACAAAAGCTGGATTACCCACCCGATCCCCTATTCTCCCTCAGGCGTGGCAAAAATGACCTACTCCGCGCTCACAGTCGTTCCTTCATACGTTCCTGACTTGAATGTGAAAAAGCTCCAGAAAAAAAAAGAAAAGATGGCGCTGAATTGAGGCATCACAAGAGCTCCCTGGTCTCTCCAAAACGGACCAGCACGTTGACAACAACGAACCAGATACCGATCCCCTCCCCTCCTCTCCTTCCTGAAATCCTTAGTAGAAAACGCATTACAATAGAGTATCAAATAGGTTCCCCCCATCCATTCTGGTTTTCCCCGCCCCCCTCCGCCTCCCGATTTCAAAAGTTTGATTTACCCTCGAAAACAGCTCATTACTGACAGCGTGCTCTAAATCTTCTAATGTTCAAATAATTTGATGCGAAGAGGTTTATGGCTGAACTTCCATATTTCAGTGAATGGAGAGGGAGGGCATTTGGACGTAGCGGCGAGGTTTATGGCTGAACTTCCATATTTCAGTGAATGGAGAGGGAGGGCATTTGGTACGTAGCGGCGGCCACGGCTGCACTTATTTTGGGATATTAGTGTCTTTTCCAGCACAGGACAGGATCAAAGCCGTCCCGACGAGTAACATCCCTCGAGTCCAAATAAAGACTCCAATCCCTTTTCTTTGGAATTCCCGTCCGGTACGACTATATTTTCCCCATGCTAGCCACCATCCCGAAGGTCTGCCAACTTTGTCCCGTTCCCCCAGACTTTTCTTTTTTCAAGGGGGTGGGGGTGGGCGGGTATATAACGCAATCGAAGCAGGAAAACTAAGAATAAATTACCAGCCAAAAAATTTTCTCACAGGGCGACCATCTTCCCCCTAACTCCAGCGACCAGGTACTACCTCCCCCCGCCCGCTGGGATCACGAACATGCGACCTGGCCCGGTTTCACCTGCATATGGCCCGGAAGTGGAACTTTTACAGCTCCTTGAAACAATAAAATCACAGTACCAAAGGTTGCTTGTTTATATGAGTAAACTGAAACCGCGAATTCCTCGGTATAAGTAGCCTATAGCGACTATTGGTGCCAGAAGAGGGACTATTATTTTAGAAACATTTCTGGAACTTGTTAAGTTGATTTCTCCTTAATTGCAAACGCAAGATTTGTCAATGGAGATTGCTGATTGTGGTGGGAAATTCTGAAGTGGTTCAAGCCGTGGGAATGTAAAAATTTCCTGGGAACGTGTTATCTCATAGAAATTTTTGGAATTATACGATTCAAGGCTCATTTTGACAGGAAGAAAAGATAAAAGGATATATTACCGGTGCTGATCGGCCCTTTTTGGGATATGCCATACATCCTCTTTTGTGCTATCCGAGAGGTGGAGGGCTTGGTTGGTAGATACGGAATTGGACCTCCGGACCAAGGACATTAATCGGCAGGGCCACATGTCACTTTACCAGCCCCTTCCGAGCTGTGATCCATGTCGCATCATTGCCAAGGGAAAGTATGCTAAACACCTCCCACCTCCATAGCCTCTCCCAACATAAAAATCCCGAAAATCTCGTCGAGCGGGGGTGTGGACGGGGAGGATTGGGTAGATTCGACCACCTATGAGGGATAGTGAGATTGCCGCCGGCAAGGTAAATCAGGGTATGCGACGGGTCTTGAGAATCTTGAGAGGTTTTCGATGCCAACGACCAAAAACTAACAACCAAGGCGGCTACAAGAGCGAGCAGGGGGCGTCGTGAGCTGGAGTTTCTCATCAAGAGGGGTCGTGCTGAGGGGGATCTGTTCGTCGTTGACGACAGTGGGGGAGTGGGTTTGGGAACAACTGGAGAATTCTGAAAAAAAACTGCGGAACGTGGTAGGAAGTTGGGAAGATTTAGGAACAGGGCTTGGGGATTTTAGTCGAGTCTGTGCGACCCTCCCCCTCCCTCCCAAGCAATGACCAAGTAAGACCCCCCTTTTACAACGTCCGTGAAGCGAGAAAAATCAACTATCAAAATAAATTTTTCCCAGCCCAAATACGACCCCCCCCCCCCCCCATTAGAGGATTCCCAACAACGATGTGCCCTGAGCAGGGCACAGCACAGTGATGTACAGCACCCTGATATAGTAGACATGGAACAAGAAAAATCACGAAAACTCAACAACCGAAAAAATTTTCTTTCCAGCCGCGGCAAATTCCTCTCAAAGCCACATACGACCTCCCCCCTCCCAACAAGCGACAAGATACGACCCCCCCCCCCAGCTGAAAGGCACGAACCCCCTATGTTTTTCACACAGCGGTGCTGTACCCTGTTTAGGAAGATGGTAACTGGGATGAGGGATTGGAAGGTGTTAAAATTGTAAAGACTGGTAGGAGATATTAGTATAATATCAAGTGAAAAAATCCTCTGGGGCAACTACGTGCATCAGGGTGAAGCAGTGAAAAGGCACGAAACCCAGCTCTATCACTAAGCGAATGGTTCAAACATCATGAAGAACATATCCATCAGAGAAGTTTGCAGTAATACTCTAGAAAAACAACTGGAAAACTAACTCTGCAAGTGCCTCGATGAATGACGGGAACTACGAGAACGAGCAGGAGGGCAGAGTGTGAGGGCGACATTCGTTCGTTCGGTGACAAAACGGCAGGGAGAGGGAGGAGGAGGCGACACCAAGGCCACCACATGGGAACAATATGAACACATGGACACACTCCCGTTCAAATGTCGTCCTAATTTTACTGGTTAATTGCGGGTGACATCACCCCAAACAGGTTTCAATGGCTCTCAGAAGTATGCCCACGCTTTTTCATGGCCGCGAAATCCTTTGTGGGAACGCTGCCGACTTGCTATGCTGATGGGACTGGGTCTGAACTGATCAACTCAAACTTTTCCCATTCTCCAGAATCACTCAGTGGATGGCGGACTTATGTGGGTGTAGGTACCTTTGACTGAGATATTGGTAGCCTTTGCAGCTTGTTTTCTGCGCCACGAGAGCTGCAGTACCTGCAGAAATGTCTAAGATGGCCAAATTCCCTTCGTGGAAACCAAGCAAAATCGGTCTGAAAATCGGTCCAACCCTCATACTGATTTTCGTGGGTTCGTGAAGGGCACGAGCGCTTTCGTTATGGTTTTCGCGCCAGTCAGATAGAATCAGCGATGTCCCACACATCGTTATTGGACTCGATACGATCTGCTGACATGTGCAGAGCGAATTTATTGTGCCTTTCATGCCAACCGGCCCTTTGACAGCCAAAGACCGCTTACTGTACGGTAGAGTACAAATGCCATTATCGATCCTCCAGGAGAAACTCCGGTCGAGTACCTACTTTGAGAGAAATCAATGAAAAGAAAGGCGCTAATTTAGGTGGCTATTTTGGTGCAATAGCTCGTGCGGGTTACGGTAAACCCAACTTTGCCCAGCGACATCTTCGGAACCACGAGACCGCTCATATGGCATTCCTTCAAATTTAAGAACTCGTGAAACGATACCGGGCATAATTCGGGCTGGGTGGGGGCACCCAGCGAAGACTCGGTGCAGCAAAAGGGCTCACCTGCACCAATTTCTCAGGGTTCAACATGCTCATTTATCAGTCTAGTTTCTTGAGTCTGATTATTACAACATTTCCTTGGCGCAGATTCAGCGGGGGGGCATGTTTTGCCAGCTTCCCATGGACGTGTCGAGCCACCAAGTGAAGAACTGTGAAATCTTGTGAATCCACAAAGCGGTTCCACTGAAGAGACTAATTGTCTAGTCCTGTAAAGAGTACCTGTGAATTCTTGCGAAGCTATGAAATCCCAGACAAATACCATTTACCATGATGGCTCGACGAGATTGCTCCAGCTTCGTAAGTGGTTACAGGTTTCACCAGAATGAGACTTGAAACCGGAACTAGGAAGCAGCGTAAGTGCAAGATTTCCCCCCCCCCCTACCGTCGGCGAACTGCACCAACTTCGTTCATTACTTTTGTTTTTCTTCCGCTCCATGCCGTTACTTCAGTGTCCTGTCCCCGTTATGTCGTCGCTTGCCTTTTGTTTTGCTCCTCCCTTTGTCATTACTCTTGTCGTTATCAACCCTGGGGTGGAGCTCTCACTGAGTGGATTGGTCTTCAGGTGTGGGTGGCGGGGTGATTGACGAGAATAATAAAGTGCCGTACTGGAGGGGCGAGGGGGCGCGAACGAAGCATTTGAGATCTTGTTTTTCTCAACTCATGTGTTTTTTCTGACCGAGACGAAGAACAGCGGGCCGTTGGGTGGTGAGAAGGAAGTAATGAGACCAAATAGCATTGGTTGGGTTGTCGTGGTGCCAAGGTATAATTCGCGAGTGATCTCACTTGAAAATCGTCTGTTTTAAATAACCGACTCGAAATCACCTTTGCTAGTGACTATATGAGCTCAACAAAGGGAGGCGGTGGCGCGGATAATTGGTATGCGTGTGTTGTAAGTCTAGGAGAGTGTCGCTTCTGTAGATAGCATGCCATTAAGGTTTGGAGCTTATTGCGGATAATTGCCCCTTCCCACGTTTCCTTATGACCAGCCCTCAAACTCGACGGGAATTTGGGGAGTATAGTGAGATGGGCGAATTAAGGAAATAGTGTTGTTTTTCAAGAAGTGTCCAACAAGCACGAGCCTTCCCTATGATCTAGGCGAAGGGGCTGGGGGGTGGGGTAGGAAACTTGAACCATTTCCGATTTCTTTGAGCAACGAGCCATTCAGGGCGATCATTCCTGCATCGCCCACTCAAAACTCGTGGAATCCGGAGATTCTGAAGGTTGGACAGGACACTGATATTACTGGTTGGCCCCTACTAGATTACAGATTGTCGTATCGATTTGTATTGGCTCTATAATATTAGCACATCAACCTCCAAACAGCGTATATCCAAGCATCTTGTTATGCACATGTCAGCCCCCCCCCCCCCCCTCCCCCCCCCCCCCCCCCCATATCTTGCCTGAAAAAAACTTGGTACGTGTCCTCCAAGTTGCTATAATATATCATTCCGGGTGGGTGTTAGATGAAGTGGAGCTGCATGTGGAATATTGGAAATTTTTTTGCAAGGTGCGACCCCCGCTTATCTCACTCTCTTGCCCATCCTAGTCTCCACTTCCCAAACTTTTCATAAAATTTAGAAAATTTGTCGTAAAGGGGTGGCGCGATCAGCTATCAGCATACTTACGAGCGCGCCAATTTGAGGGTGCTATTCTACTGGGGCGGGAAAGAATAAATCAAACAGCCGGTTCTTCTACACCCCCCCCCCCCCTTCCCTTCTCCAACGTCAAAATACGGCCCGCCATTCCTTGCGTAGCAGTTGCTAAAGACCTGCAGCAGCTGGACATAAAACGGTCCGGTGCTACTTTAATCGCTTCCAATCAAAACATCCCTTAGGCAATCTCCTGTCCGTCTCTCTGAGGGCCACAGCACACTGCTCAATTGTCCTTGGCAATCCTTATTTGACGGGTGAGGGATTTATTTGAGTGCTCTGAACCGCTTCATGGTGATTAATACAACGGCAGAATTAATGCCGATGGCATTTGTAGATAGCACGAATAAACGACCCCTCACACAAATCGTCCGGAAATTCCTCGGTGCCGCGCTGAACAGATGGAGTCATTCCCTTCAGGATAAGCGCAATCAATAAAAACGAAGGTGCTGTTTCAGTTAGAAGGGGCATTGTAGTGCAATAGCTCGTGTGGATTACGGTAGACACAACTTTGCACAACGATTTTTTTTTGAAACTCCGAAAAGGCCGCTAGATAATTCTTCGAAATTTATGGTTTGTGGATATAAATATTCGACGCAGTTTGGCTTGGTGGGGGCATGAAATGGTACCCAGCAATGTTTTCAACGGCCACCTCGTCAAGACCTGTAAATCCTTATAACCAGTGGCTCATTTGCACCATTTCGCAGCTTTACAAGATTTTACAAGTCACGCCGAGGTTATACTTGTTACCTAATGAAACCTAACCAAAAGTGCAAAAATGCCCCGCCCAAGCCGAACAGCACCTGAAAGAAGATGTTCGCCGTGATTCCAAATACCTCGAGTGCCCTGCGCCAATATATCACACCTTATTGAAGCAGGTTCAAAAACGTCATGTTATTAATTATGCATATTTATTCGTAGAATACACAGTATTCATTATAAACTATAATATCTATAATCGGCGCCAACGTAGTTGGGGGGGGGGAGGAGCCTTCGCCAGCGCCTCCACGTCCCCTTCTCTGGTCAAGACTCAGACGTTTTTCACGGGATAGCATCATTGGTAGGAATGCCATAGGGTCGTACTTGATCGCTAAGGGAGGGGTCATGTTTATCGCATCTCTTTAGACCCCCCTAACTTCCAGCGCACGGAGAAGAGAGTATCATATAACTTACTATTTCTGACAGTTGAATCAGTGCATGATCTTCTCTGATGACCAACGCGTTCTGCTTTCCTCCGCCCGAGAATCCCCTCCCCCGCAGGCGCCGACGCGTTTTTCGGGAGAAACTGGAACAATTTTCGGGAAGACTGGGAACTGTAAGAGAGGGGGGGGGAGGTCAGAGCAGATGTGGAAGTTGGAGGGAGTACATAGTGATACCGCCATTTCACGCATCACGGTGCTGTACCCTTTAGTGAAGACCATTTATTCTCTGTGAAACTGCCCCTTGGCGAATCTGGTCGTCTGCGCTCTAAACCCAAGCCTTTTTGGGAAAAGGATACAATGGCGCGGTCGTGTGCCCTTGCCCCCTCCCCCCAACTACGTCAGCGCCCTTTAATCTTTATATTCGCTTGCTAAAATTAGAAATTCTCAGCAGGCGCTGAGAAGGATCCTAACGAGTCTCCGGTAGAAATATCGATAGTCCTCTGGTCTTTGATGAGCAGTTTCGTTCGAGTCGCCGTTGGGAGCGAGAGGTTGTTGAGGGGGAAATTCGCTTGAATTCTGCCGGCAACCACCTGTCGTTTACCACTCGTCAAACCCTAAAATGTACTAGATTATTCATATTTGTTGCCAATTAAGTAACTGTTAACTGACCCCGATGAATGACCGTAATCCGTCGGCGGTGATCAGGTTGGGAGCGGCGATTTGGAATGTGGTGGCGGTGAGATGAGCAAGAATGACGTCATCTATCATCAGAGGAACGTCATTACTCTCGGCGTCAACGAGTTCGCTGACGCTGAAGAATCGTCTGGAGGCGATAAAACGGCACAGCTCAGCGCTGAAGTGCTCCTGGAACAGCCGCGGATCATGCGAAAGACGATATCAGCTGGTGCCACCTCGCGGACAAAGCGAAGCAGTGCCGAAGGAGTGACGGCAGCTAACGACGTCAGTTCGAATGATAGAAGTCGTACACGACAGTCGGCATTCAGAAGACAGGATGATAGTGATGACAGCACGCCGTCTGACAGTTCCATCTGAAATTGTGGCTTTAAGAATCCTATGGTTCCAATAATAACGTCCTTTGCTCAAGGAATATTTCTCTACGATAACCGAGGGAGGGGGAG